ATTGTATAAAAAACTAAAGGGTTTGATTTTCATAAACCTAATAAGACAACGTGTGGCTTCGATTAAAATAAATAAATACATAAAAGTCTGGCTCCTTTTTAGTGAATTCAGCAATTATGCCTCTGCACTGAAGTAGATGCAAATTCACTCATATTTAGAGCTGCGTTCAAAACTGATGGTGAAAAAAAAGATAAAATAAAGTAAAGAGACACAATTTCTTCCAAACTAAGCTGCAATAATTAAAACATGAGTTTGTATCATAAACCTACAAGGTAATAATAGATTCATGTGATTCTAAAGCCCATGCCACACACATAGTCTTCTAAATATGTCCCATTTTAGAAAATATATATGAGCTCACAGTTTATGCCATCCTACTTTATTTGTCCACATTTAACTCCCTCAGCCACTTTTGATAACAGACACATTTATTCGTCCACCGCGTGTCATGTCTACACCTATATAATTAATAGCGCAGGAAAAAAAAAGAAAAAAAGAAAAAGGCAGCTGCTTTAACGAGACAATCAATGAGCTTAAACTGCCCGGTGAGGCCTTTTTCTACCTGCTGCAGCTCACTTGAATACACTGAAGTCCTGTTAGACTGCTGGTAATACAGAAAGTGTTGTCTAGAAAAAAAGATCCTCAGCAGAGTCTGATATAATTTAATACAAGATTTTTTATCAGACATTTCTTTCTCTTCCCGCATAGCTTATTTCACATAGGTAAAGACAGATGCATCCTGTTTAAACTCCATTGCTGCTAATTTTAGTCATTTTGTTTTCAGCACCCAGCTTGCTTCTTTTTTTTCTTCACAGACAAACATAATTTCTGTCTCCTGCCTGTCATAACAAACACAGCAGTAGATTTTACAGGGAAAAAAAATTAATAAGAAAGTTCTGAAAGCTTGAGTGCAGAAGTTCAGGACTCTCACTTCTGAATTATGAAGTAAGAAATTCTTAGATGTTGACCTCATTCACTCAAACAGCTGACAGACTTACATAATGAGTGAGAGCTAATAGAACTGCTTACCAAACTTATTACAGGTTTGGATGTTAAGTCAGGTCATCCCACGTTGCGCGCCGAACGTTATCTGTAGATTTGTTTTTATCTTATAAACCCTCAGGCCTTCTGGTAGTTTTAATTAAATCTAAAGTCAGAACAGAAACGATGAGAGACTGTTTAGATTAAGTTGGTAATTGCCAGTTTGTTGTTGATCTGAATACAGAATGATCTAAACACCTGGCTTTTAGCTGCTCTGTGTTCTTGTTTTTTTTGAGTACGAGATAAAACTAAAAGTGTCGGAGTGTCGGTTAAAGAGCATTCCTGCTGTGTCATTCTGTTTCCGAGAATCGATCACAGGTTTCAGCTCAACACCATGTCCTGTTGCATAGAGCCACAAATAACATCTTCTACACCGTGGAGCATCTTCAGGATGAATCGATCAACGGTTTGGTCTCGATAATGTGGATCGGAGTTTCCTCAGATGTCCTGTTCTGTCTGCAGAGTTAACTTCACCAGTGTGGACGCTGCATTCACATGTCGGTAAATTAGCTAAAAAACATGAAGCAAAGTGCAGCTATATTTGTCTCATCAAACTCCAATGGGGAAATAGATGGCTTGTCACAAAATAAATTATTTGTATGACATATTTCAGGGCATCATGCAATTGTGTTATCTATTACATTTGCTAACCTGTTACTCTGTGAACCCTTTGAACAAGTCGTCATGTCAGTCAGTNAGTTTGATGTATCTAAAGTGCTTTATGTTTGATGTAGATGAAGTTTAATCAATGGTTTGTGTTCCTATAAACCACATTTAGATGGTTTTATTTTCTGTGCGTGTATAAGAAGAAAACAGCAGGATATGAAGTGGAAGATGTTTCCGTCTTAGCGGAGGTCGTCTGAGTCATATTTCACTACAGCTAAGCTGTAAATAAAACTCAGATGTATACAATCAGACCTCTGGGTTGTTGACCTCATCCCAGCTCGCTGCCTGAGCCACTTCTCCTCTATGGTGGGACATCTTTTTCAGATATTCTGACACAGACTCTCTACCTATGGGTCCCTACATTTGTAATTTGATGTGAAGTAATTATTTTTTGGCTGAAGCTACAGTACTAAGAGTCGTGTGACAGCTGGGATAGCATTTGAGTCGCTGTTAGGTTGAGACAATAGGTCAATACAGAAACTAGAAACTGCCTCATTAAACCAGACAAGACTCTTGCAATTGACACACTTGAGTCTTTCGCAAACTTTCTGAGACACCAAATTCCCCTAAAACCTGCAGCATGCCGACATTAAATTGTTCATTCGGCCGTTCATTGATCGGCAGAGAAGCAACCAAGCTGGTGATTTAAAGCCAGTTAACCAGGCATCATAAGCAGGCAGATCACTGTGTATGTACAATATTAATGTCTAGTCTGATTAGTATTTTTGAATGGGTGAATCAGGCAGCCGTCTCTGTGTAATCGTATCCATTATCTGGCGCGAGGTACTGGTGAGGAACCACAGCAGAGGGATGGCTGTTCTGTTCCAGTGCAATCAATGCGGATAACTATGGGATTCCAAATGGAGTAAGGCTCATTACAGAGCGGGAGGGTGCAGGGCGCTCAAAATGGAAAAAACATTCATTTGTGTCAAAAATAAGACAACAGCTAATGAGATCTGCTAAACTAGCTACCTTTAGCAGGAGGTAATTTAGCTGCTGCCCTATTAGATTATGTGAAATAAACAAAATAACCAAAATGTCACCTCATCAAAATGAATATTTTTAAATTCACAACGAGGGGAAAATCATCAGCAGCTTAGCCAAGCTTAGCCGTGGCTATCTCATCAGTTAGCTTTCATTTGATATAGACAGAACTCTGGCTATGTAATTAGCTGTCGATTGCAATAACTGCAGCCGATTATAAAAATGCTGTGGTAAAGTGAAAAGCTACACAAAATAACGCAAATGTGACCAAGTGTGTACTCCCTTTTGCCTTCGCTTAAAACATGAACCCAAAATGTAAACTCATATCAGTGAGCAACAAGACATGAGCCTCATGTGAGTGCACCAACTGTCTATACAGCCTGATGTAGTTGCTTTTTACTTTTTCATTGTCTTTTTTTTCCTTTTTCTTTGCCACACTAGTTTGTATTAGTAGATCTTTGAGCTCATCTATCTCTGGTCAAACTAGCTGATAGACTTCTTTGTTTTTTTGTCATGCACTGTGTGAAAGTAGAATCAGCCATAAGTTCTTAGTTGTTCTGAAGCTATTCAGTCTTTGCTGAAGCCTTATTATGGATGAGNATGGATGGGTGGGTGTATTATCATTGCTTTTTCCTCTATTTTCTGATATTCTCTTCACTATTGCAATTAATCTAACAATTAGTCGTGCAACAAATAATCTACAGGTTGATTCATTATGAACCTAATTGCTACTGTGCTCAAGCCCGGTCTCAGTGGCCCTCAGTTTTCTGGACTTGGTCCTAACCACAATGCAGCATTTGTTTTTTTGTTTCCTTTTTGGCTCGTCTCTCCGCCCACTCCTCCTGTATTGTTTGCCCTGAAGGTAACAAGAGCTAACAAGAGGTTAATAAAACAATAGGAGATGCCAAACAGAAGACCACCAGCCCACACAGTGGCAATTTTCCATTGTATCTTTTCCAGGGAGCCTTCTCGGGCAAAAACATACTCCTTTTATAGATGCCATTTTACACACCGCTCTCTGTTCGGATAGGACCACTTAATTAATTTAGACCACGACAGGATTCCCTCACACCCACCTCCTTTTTCCCCTCCCTACAGCAAAGTGCTATATTGCCACCATGACATATATGAGAAAATGCCTCTCTGTCAGGCACGAGAAAGAAAGTGGATGTTTTGTGTTAGCAGCTATTAGCCCATCCCCTCCACTCTCTTCCATTATGTCCTCTTTCAGTTATCCTCCCGCTCCACAGAGGACACCAATAAAGAAAGCGCAATGCCCTCAGGAGACTGCGATTCTTCTCTTGACATGCTATCAGTCAGAACACACACACACACACACACGGAGGCGGAGACCTACATGCATCTTTCATTACTGAGGTGAAGCAGTTGAAAGGGCAAGAAAAAGAGCTGCTTTCACACTGCTTGCATTTCAGGTCTGCTTTATCCTTAATGGAACACACGCACACACGTTAAAAAGAGGTTTGTGTGCACGCCCATTCAGACGCACAACGAGGGCCGTGCACACACGACCCTGTTTGTTTTCGCTGTGGTCGGACGGGCGGTTACGTAACTAGAAATCTTTGGAACAGCAGCAAAAATGAAATGAGATAATAGAAGGGGTTGAAAAAAAAAAAAAAACCCAAATAAGGAATCAGCCTCTCTGAGTGAACACTTCCACACCTCCCTGTGGTAATTAGAGGCTCGTCATGGGTTGCTGGCACCCTCTAGTGTTACATAATGTGCACTCCTGATACAACGCCTCCCTTTATTATCGTCAACGGCAAGACAGAAACCTTTAGAAATAAATGTCAGCTATGACGGGAATCTAAATTCTGTCACACTTTTAGGTAAAACTTGCTTGTCTTGGAAGTTTCTTGAAAGGTCAGCAAGCCATTACAGAAACACTATGCCACTGCAGCTACTTCTCTTAAAATGCACTCACAGTATTAAAAAAAAAAAAACATATGAAAAAAAAAAGAGTCACAAAACACTGTGCAAAATCATTGCTAGTCTAAGACTGAGCATGGGTTGGCCGAAAAAGGTCAAATGTACAGTATAATGTTCCAGTTTTAGTCCTATAAAAGGTGTTTTGGTGATTGTGTATGTGAGCATAATATAGCTACATGATAGAAGGAAGACTGGCTTACCCATCAGCAAAGCCACACACAGAAGAATCGCCATCAAAGCTCCAGTGCTGAGGCCCACAGGCAGGAATATGGCCTCCGCTGAGCAGGTCAGCAGCGAGCCTCCGGCCTCGCAGGAACACACTCGGATGGTGACGGTGGTCGTGCTGCTCTGGGCGGGATAACCGCTGTCTTCAACCACAACAGGAAGAACGTAGACGTCCTGCAGCCGCCGCTGAAAACCTGAGCGCCGAGCCACAATGCCGGCTGTGTTGTCTGGAGAAAAAAAAAGAAACAGGATGATGTTACAGCTCTGATAATATCCAAGATACTGAATACATTTATTGACTCATTGCCATCGCAGCTGAGAAATGTGATCAATGGCTGCAACTAAAAATGGCATAAACAGAATGATAAATGTATGCAACATTAGCATAACAGACAGCCTTGGAGGATCGGGCTGGTGTCAGTTTATATTTCTACAATGGTGAAGAAGTTCCAGGAAGACACCTTCAGTGTCTTAGGCAATGTGTCAAAACCAAACTTTTTTTTTTTTTTTTTTTTGAAAATGATTCTCAGATGCAGCTTCATTTTTAAAAATATCCTCAGTTATTTCCTAAGACAATGATGTTTTTATCCAGTGTTACTCAAACCGGAGGAAGAAATGCATTTGTTGTGGACTATTTTCAGTGGTTGATGAATCCATACTTGCTCTGGGGAGTATTTGGGGAAGCAGAACTGTGTATGTGGGCTTGAGTCTTGATAAACTATAGTGTTTATAGTGATAAAGCAGCATGGCATTCAGACCTACAGTGTGGCACATTGATGTGTTTGTAATAGATACAGAAAATGTAGAAAACTTGGGGTCACATTATTATTATTTTTTTCAATCCATCCAAACTGATCTTTAAACAAATGCAACAGGAAATCTAAAGGACGATCCAGAAGATAGGCATATGTATCATAGCTTTAGTGACAATTAAAACTGCTTCATAGGGAAGATGCTGACCAAAGATTAATGGAAATTTAACTTGCATACTTTGTTAAAGCATACAATTTCGTCAGATCCCTTTGAAATGTGAAAAACTAAAGAAAATGTTAATGTTTAGTTAAAATGGACGAAACAAACACGGAAACAATGGTCATCCATGTCGTGTCTCTCACTGGGACCTCATGAACTTCATGAAACTAAGCACCCCATCAACCATTTTGTACCTGTTTCAGGCCCTGTCATCCTTATTCTACTTGATTATTCCATCCTTGATATGACAAGGGAAGCAGCTTTGTCTGAACTAGGCCACCTTTTAGAGGCCAAAGCTTCTGGTGAGTCTACCAACTTGCAAGTTGCCAACTTGTATTACCCTTCATGTTAGTCTCAGACCAACTGTCCTGACTGGTTTGTGATGGCTCTGCTTGGAGTCACATTTTGTCTTCCTTCAATAAACGTATAAGGAACCCAGTGGTTAAGAACTCCTTCTGAGTTCAACTCAAGAAATACTTTTCCTGAAATTATTTTTCCCTTGTAAGACCGATTGATTCAAATCCCTTCTTTAAACCACCCTTTCAGAATTTTGCATCTAAGGAATGCCACAGGAAGGGAGCCGTACATTTTAAAGATCTGTTTATAAGCAACACCTTAACATCATCAGCAGTTAAGTTAAAAACTCCGTCCTCCCAAGTCAAGTCTTCTTTCTGTTATCTACAAGCAAAGCGTTATGTACTTTCTCATCTGTCCAACTCGCCCACAACAGACCCAATTATTGACAAGATCCACTCTTTGAATCCATCTCACAAAAGACTCATCTCAGCCCTCTATGGCATGGTTTCTGACCTGAGATGCACTCCCATGGATTAGCTCAGAGCATTGTGGGAGGAGGACGTAGGCCTGCCTTTATGAGATAGTTGGAGCTCTATACTCAAACTTGTCAATTCAACCGCTTTCTGTCCTCACCACTGCTTAATCCAGTTTATTGTGTCAGAAACCAGAATATCCTGCATGTATCTAAAGGTTAGCCCTCTGCTGAAGCCTCATATGTACTGGTGCCGGTCTTGATAAGTATTGGGCAGACGTCTTTCACATGTAATCTACATCAAGCTGGATCCAAATCCTCTTGTTGCTCCGTTTGTACACCTCCAATCTCCAAGGTCCTGTGGCTTTAAAAAGTAGATTTATCTAGAAAAACCCCAATCCCAATTTTGCACCTGATCACTGTCTGAGTCCTTTACTTTGGTACCTTTTAAGACTGAGTCCAATGTAACACTTACATTTCATCAGCTGTCAGTTAAAAATGTACGTCTGACAACAAACACATAATTTAAAAACAACAGCTGAACTGTGTATTTGGTGATATTTCTGTGTAAAATTTGAGTGAAATGCTCACATTATTAAACCCAACTGTGGTAAATTAGACCAGCACATGGCAACACTAGCAAGCTAAGGATGACAAAACACTGCAGAGTTCAGTAAAGAAAGGAGATTGATCAGCTTTGTTTTTTCTGATATGTATTCCCAGGTCGATCCTGATCCAGATTCTTGGAATCGGCTCTAGATATCTCTACCAAGACGATTAGTAGCTGTGGGTAAATACTGCAGTGGGCAACAAAATTGTATGAAATTAACACAAATGTTGGAAAGCATGAAGAACAATTCAAATCAACAGTACAAGCCATGTGTTGATTTCAGCCTGTCCACCTTAGTGTCATTGTTCAGGTCCACAGTCGGGGTTCTTGGGTAATTGCAGTCTTTTTTTCAAGTCTAGCACTGAGTGGCATCAACATCAGCTATTCCCTTTGATATTATAAACACTGTCGCTTCAATATTTAAACTCTACATGGGAAAATACTGCACTGGGTAAAGTTGGTGAAACATCAAAGTGAAAAGATGAAATGTTACACAAAAAGTCAGAAGGCCAGCGTTCGTGTTTTTTCTGACCTACATGATTAGAAAGCAAGAGGACAGAGATGCCTTTGTGTGGAGAAGTCAGTCACTTTGAATCTTGTTTTGTGGTTTTCTTACGGTTAAATAAATTGGAGTAGAAAAAAAAAAAGAACACACTTTTGCCCTAGAGAATAACGGTAGAGCTGAAGGTCACTGAATCCCTAATCTCTCTCATGTTTACATTCCACTGTGCTGGTTCAATGTCAAACCAATGCCTGTTCTGTATCTCCTCTAACTGGTGCCTTTCAAGTAAGAAAACACACCGATATTTTTTTTTATTAATTTACTTTATTCATGAATTTTGTTTTTTTGACCTAAATATATGCCCACGGAAAGTGCTTTTCGAAAGAATTGTGGTTAGAAAAACCTCCAGCAGAGGTTGATATGAGGGGTAAATGGACAGCAAATAGGGATTATATACAAATAGTTCTGGCGTCACTGGATATGCAGACATAAAATATGTTTTCAGACGGGTCAAGCAACATGCTATGTGAAAATCTTCACCATTCACAATGCGTGGATACCCAACAAGATTAATGATACGGCTGCCGGCCCTTCCTTCCTTCTTTGTGTCTTTTCCTTTTTTTGTGTGCGTGTGTGAAGATTGTAGTGTGCCGTTGCCGGTGGTGGATTGGGCCAGGCCACATGGGCGGAGCCAGGCCAATCACGTGGGACCTCCAATCCGGACCCGCCAAGAAGATGACAGCGGCCTATTTAAGGGGAGAAGTCCTAATTGACGGGGTGGCTGTACGCAGCTAGAATAGAGCTTTTATTTGTGTTATGTAGAGGCACTTTCTTTTCTCCAAACTGTATTGGAACAGGGCTTGCTGGGGATTGTTTTTTTTTCTTTTCAATAAAGTAGGTGCTGATTTGTTATACTTTGATTTTGAAACCTTTTTGTTATTCAGTTTAGCTTGGTTTTTCCTTTGTTTTGTTTGGCAGCAAGTTTTAGTTACCAGAGCTTTTGTTTGAGTATTTATGTCAAAGAGCACCTTGATGCCCTGTTTCTTCAGTTTCTGTGTCACCTATTCTTGTAAATAAATAGTTGTTACTTTTAAAACCAATTATATCTGGTTTTGTTACATTCCCTTTTCCCGTTCCATCGAGCTGGGTTGTAACAATTAACTTCAGCGACCCTTGAATCAACATTATTCAACCTACAAGATGTAAAAACATGAATGTAAAGCCGTGTTGAAGTCAAAGAAAGTTTAATAAAGGATGTCTGATTGATGTTTGGGAGCAAAACACTGATCCGCACCATTGTCTCCAAAAAATAGAAAATTATTTGACCTCCATCGTAAATATATCAACTCTCCCACCAAAGATTCATTGGATTCTAATCCAGAGACTAAGACGCTCCTAAAAGGCAATTTTTTTGACTTCTGGTGTGTTTTATGGCTGAGAATGAAGTGCAGTGAAGTTTCCGTCCCTGAGACCTTGTTGTTTGCTTTTCCTTTTATAGTCTGTATTGATACCTCTGTTCCTTTGATTTTTAACTGCACTGTGCACACCGAGGTGAAGGAAAGTCTCAACAGTGAAGTTTTACCGGAAATCTATGAAAACAGACCAATACCTACTGTTTGACTCCAATTACCCAGTGGAGTACACCAGGCTGAAAAATCTCCCTACTAAGACGGAGGGAAACGAAAAGGAGCACACACATATTAACAAGCACTTAGAACCTGTGGCTATACCAGCTTGGCCTTCATTAAGTCAATAAAAATATCCAGAAAAAAAACTGCACAGTAAAAAAAAAACACAACACAGAAGCAAAGAAGAACCGGCAGAGCAGCACTGTCATAGCATGAGTAGTTGGAAACTTTTTCTCTAAACACAACATACCAGCACACTTCAGACCCAGCAACATTCTGAGACAAATATTGGTTCACCCCAAGGATAAAACACCCAAACACAAGCTGAGCAATGGGGGGAAACTAAACAAGAGCACCACAAGTGCATGGCTCAACAACAGGACAGTCAGTTCCCCAGGACAAGACCCAGCAGTCCCCCTGCACCTGAAGGACAAGAGACGCTCCTCTGAGGACAACAATGCTCACATTCTGGACGTAGAAGGCAGATAGTTTGTGAGAAGAGTGAAGGAAGCCACTACAACAGCCATTTCCACACAGAGGAGGATGTGAATGACGGCACCTATCAGGTACTTATATTGCAGTCCTGAGATCCCTCCTGAGACAAGTTTCTCCAACATGAACACCTTACGTCATACGAAGCAGTTTCCCCACTCATGCATCCTTTGAGTCTTGGATTGTTAACGAGCCTTTAGCTGTACGATTAGGGCAGGGGTGGGCAATCCTGGTCCTCGAGGGCCACAGTCCAGCATGTTTTAGATGTTTCCCTCTTCCAACACACCTGATTCAAATGATCAGCTCATCATCAAGCTCTGCAGAAGCCTGATAACGATCCTGAATCAGGTGTGTTGGAAGAGGGAAACATCTAAAACATGCAGGACTGTGGCTCTCGAGGACCAGGATTGGACACCCCTGGATTAGGGGGTGAGGATAAATACACGGAAAGCCTCTTGGATGAGAGGTGAGGCTTCACTAACTGAAAACAGAATTCCAGTGCCCTTTCACTGAAGTACTGAGGAGTACTGTGACCTGGAATCTTTTTTTTTTTTTTTAAAACACTTTATTTCTCTGGGAAGAATCATTTCCCCATTCCCTGTTTGCTGTTGTGAGTTTTAAGCTTGTGTGTGATGCTGTTGTGTCTCTTGGAACTTGAAGCATCTTGGAGATTTTTTTGAAACCATTGCGTTTTTTGCTGTAATGAAACAATTTCTTCTCCTGGCTTCTAAGACAGCTCCTTTATCTTTGCCATGTTTGCTAACCCTTAGATAAGGGTTGAATAATAAGACAGCTTATTTTTATGGGGAAAAAAATAAAATAAAATAAATAAATCCTCAAAGTTACGTTGCACATTTTCATTGTCTGTTTGACTTTGTCATTCAATTCATAAAAAAATTCTGAAACTTCTGTATAATTGAAAAATGGTAAATGTCTGAACCCTTACATACAACTGTGAATTTTTCATTTCTTATTTGAATAATTTGCACAGATTATTCTCCAGTTGACGAACGTGAGCTTTGGAAGACGTGAAACTGCAAATATTTAAGTAACCTCAATCTTCAATGGCATTGGTCTTAGGGGAACCTTCCTGTTCCTGTTTGACACCTTTTTTTGGAGCAACAAGAGAAGATGCAGCTTACATTGGAAGCACAAAACATGTTTGTTTCTTCCAAACGACAGATTCAGACACTTTTTAGCATGATGTATGTGTGTGCGCGCATGTGTCCGTGTCTGTCAGAAAAGATCCATTCCCTCCTGCTGGACGGTGATGAAACCTGACAAGGTAGAGACCATTAAAGCACCTTGTTCCTGTTCCACACACACACACACCTACAGACAGACACACACATACGCTCCAGTTCCCCTTGGTGGCTGCAGGCCTGAGTGTCTGACTCTATCAGATGTGATGCTGCTGACTGTAAAGGTACAAACACACACAAATACAACAATGCTTGTTGGGGAGGTGTTGCAGGGGATGTCAGGGGAGGATGTGTTGAAACTGATTATCCCACCGCAACATTCAGAGGCAACAGAGACGGACAAGTTCTACATTCAGCAGGGATGGGAATCACTGTGTGAGAAGATGATACAAAACATCATTTCTCTGTGGTAGGTGTAGTTTAAAAAGGCTGTGCGATGTAGAGGAGGGTTATTTTGGCATTTCAACTAACATTACCGGTTGTGCACGTGAAAGCTGGAGGGGGAGATGTCATACTTGTCATCACGCCTCATCACCGTGCCAGGAGTCAATCTCAACCTCCTACTGGTTGTGTGTGACTTTGCACATCAATAATTTGAAATGTCAAGCAGTATTGTCAAGGGGAAGCTCCTCAGTGGCAGATGAGCAGCACATCCCCAGTCACAGTCCCAGATGTAGTGCACATCTGTCTCTCCAGTACTTCATGTATGTTTTCTCTTTCTTTTTTTTTTAAAGTAGTGTGCAGAATTTTACACTTTAGTAGTTCGCTGACAGAAGAGGCAGAGATAGGGAATGACATCGATAAGGGTTGGACATGAGTTCTTGATGTTGTGGTCCATGGCAGCCATAATAACAGCATTTCAACCTTCACCATACCAGCATGGCACAGGTATCGTAGAAAAAAAGAACTTCAGTACAAATACAAAAGCGTTTGACACTTTTTTCAACTTGTCCAATGTCAATGGAGTTTCAGTGCATCTACACACATATGTTTGTATGGGTCCATTTCCATGAGGTTCTGTGCTGGTGTTTGTCTTTTAGGAACAAGACCACATCATTAAGCTGGATTTATGTTAGGAAGTTACACCACAAGCCCCTAGTGGACATGACTTTTGTGTGTGGTTGTGTAGAAATATCATATTGACTTTACAGGCAGGTTAGTCATTTCTTAAGCATTCGGGGACTCTTGCATGAGTAACCGGGGTATGCATATCTTTTGTTTTTCCAAAATGCAAACATACACCTGTTCTTCTCTTAGTATATTTTTTTCTCTTGATTAATTTTAACAACTTAACACATATAGAAATGATGAAAATGTCTACCTCCACAATGAAGGAGGAAGCCTTGAAGCCTACGCTCCCACACACTCTGGCTTTGGTCACGCTGTGATAAAGTTCCAATGATCAGAGCCTCAAATTCCTTTTTTTGCCTCTTGTATATGTCTTTTGCCATATCGTGGTGAACCCCCCACTGACTGACTCTTTTTTATCTTGGCTGCTTTTACCACCACCTTCCTGTCCGTATAGATCACTTCTCTCTCACTGATCTAGAAGTGTCTACAGCGAGATTTGTGAATAACGGTGCCAGCTCCAGCACCTCTATTATCCAGTTCTGTAGACAGGCAAATGCATTGTCACCCTCTGCTCCCTCAGCAGACTGACAAGCATGAAGTCGGAGTGCCTCGATCTTGCCTCCAGGTCAGTATTTTGTCCCGAAAATCTTTTTTTTTCTCTCCCTGTTCCATATATTGTACTTTAGCTTAGAGCACAACCGACAAATATTCAGTTGTCGAGATCCTTGTCTCTGATTTGTTCTGCACAACCAGTAATGTCTTCCCTCACATTTTCTAAAGCAGCCCATACGTTGTCAAATCTGGTGGAACATTCAGATTTTATGCTGTTGACAGTTACCAGTGTGATTTATGATACGGCAATTGACTTGTCAGTAAAATGTCAAATGGTCCACACTTACAGAGAACTTTGACCATTGGCACACTTGATTATATGATTGTTAAGCTGACTTAAGATTGTGATTTAATATAAGAAGGTCCAGCAACACAGGTATGTTCTGGAAGGATCATACTGAAGTTAAACCTTTCAACCTTAACCTGCAGTAGCTGTTTTTTTTTTTTTTTGTTTTTTTCTTTTGGTCAAATTGGTATATTCTTAACTTTCAAGTTGATGACTAAACAGTTTTTGGTCAAATATCAAGCTGTTAAGCTGCTAAATGCTCCACTACACAACCTCGACCGTTGGAATATTGAATAGTTGTTTGATTAAATGGCTTTGAAATGGCTTTGTTCAAGTTCAAAACCGTTAAAACTGTTTGTTAGCTCAGGATGCTTAGCTTTACATTTTAAAACTCACATGATCAGTTTATCTCCAGATGGCTCAACTTACCCACTGACTTGGTTAAATTTACCCCTAACATGGGGCAAGTTGAGCCACAGGAGCACTTTCTGTTTTGAGAAGTCATTATTTTGGGCAGTTTTGTAAGAGACGCATTCTTTTTAAAGTTATTTTCTGGCCTTTATTGGACAGTGTAGTCAGAGAGAGACAGGAAAGTAGGGGAGAAGGACATGTGGGAAAGGGTCATGAGCGGGATTCGAACTCATGACCTCCACATCGGGACTGTAGCCCTGCACATGGGACGCCAGCTCAACCAGGTGAGCTATAGCGGCGCCCTGTAAGAGATGCATTCTGATAATTTAATTTGATAGGAGACATCCTGAAATAAAGGTATACGTTTTCATTACCTTACCTTTCCTTACCTCCAGGACAACAAAAGTAAAAAGTGGCTCATCTTACCCCACCTCTCCCCGACTCTCTGTATGTGTCTGCTCTCAGTTGTTGGGTAGGTATTGCTCAATGGATTACCACGACTTTTTAACTGAAATCAGTCCAAAATGAGAGTAAAATAAGGCAGCCAGACACCTAAACCGTGACCTGAAGTGCTCTCTAAAGCTCCATAAAGGAGAGTGAAGCTGCTGATTCAGTTGATAATTTCCTGTCAGCTCTTCCATTCTAATCCCTCAATGACTTACTTCCAAAATCTCGAACAGTGAAGTTTCTGTTGCGGAGCTCTTTGGGGGACTTGAAGAAGAACCTCTGGCCGACAGGAGGAAGGTCCTTGTCCACAGCGCTGACCGTCTGAATCACCTGGTCGGGGACCAAACACAGACAATCTGATCAACATTTTGATTCAGAGGAATCCTGGAGAGAAACGCTGGTGGTCTGTCAATCTAAAATTTAAATTCAAATCTGTTTGTTGGCAGGGAAAACATGAGAAAGGATAAATTAATAGTTACTTTCTCCTCCCTGAAATGAGGACATCTGAACCACTTGAGCGCTAGAGTGTTCTCAAGAGTGTTCAACTAAACTTGAGATAACACATCTTAAATAAATTCATATCTTTGTAATTATAGTCATGCAAACACGCAGGGAAAAATGTATAATAGTGTATCTTTTTGCCCTTTTCTTAACTTAAATCTAAAGTTCTTATTTAGTAGATGCAGTTCACTTTACCTGTCCTATTTTGGAGTTTTCACAGACGAACGTATCTGAAGGAATCGCCAGCTCAGGAGGGAACTCGTTCACGTCCAAGACATTGACTGTCACTGAAACTTTGGTGGACAGCAGAGGGTTGTCTGGAAGAGCCAACGAGAAGTCA